GACACCATGTCATGTCATTTTCAACAACACTTATCCTATCCAGGATCGCAGGGGGTTGCTGTAGCCTATCCCAGCTGACTTGGGGCAAAAGGCGGACTACACCTTGAAGTGATCGCCAGCCGGTCGCACTGTAAACTCTAAATCACAAGTGCCCATTACGTCAATCACAATCGACCTGTACCCCGCGAATGGCCAGGTGTCTCGGACTCTGTGCAGAGTGGGCAGACGAGGGACTCGCGTGATGCACCCGGGCACACTCTTGTAGTTTCGAGAATGACCCGTGGGCCAGAGGAGTCGTCCACCCGAACAACGGTGCAAGGCCTTCAGAAGTCAGTCAGAAGCAATTGACTGTAGTTGATGAGCACAAAGACATACAAATTCACTGCCAACTTTAAGAACCATAATCCTTCGTTTATCACCGAGATTGCGTTTTAAAAAGAACCCGTGATAAGTGAAATCCATGAAGTAGTCATCTTTATTTTTTTTTACCATTATGATTACTGTATTGAATGAAACCAAAGATCAAACCTTTTTTCAGGCCCAAGCATTAAAAAAAAAAAAAAACACAACAAAAATATAAACATTTAATTGTACAGCGATGAAACGCGAAGCCTGTTGACATTAGTCGACAGTCCCTTAGCCAATCAGGATGCAGAACAGAATGCACCGTTAAAAAAAAACGGCACAAAAAAAATATGTGAAACAGCGAAGCCATCTGTGAAAAATGACCATTGTTATAGCGAGGGATTAGAGATTATTGTATCCCAAGCAATTTCCTTTCAAGACGACATCACAGGACATTTTTCACTTACAAATCTTAAAACATCTTCACAGTGGCCCCACACTGCAAACAGCGCATTTCTCGTCACTGCCACCTGCCTGTTCACAGTTCCTTCACCAAGCTGCAGGCACACAGAAAATTCTTTAGATAGTATTTTACTGTAATTCATTTCATTCATTGATTGCACATTGTCCTAATCACAAGGGTATAATTATTTTTTTATCCATCTATTCATTTTCTATTCAGTTCATTTCTATTCAGGGGTACAGGGAGTTGGGATTCTATTCCATCTGATTTAGGGTAAAATGTCAGGCACCCTGGCCTCAACTGGTCACCGACCAATCACGGACCTGACACAAAGACACAGATAACTAATCACATTCACACAACTTGCTATTTAGAGTTTTCAATTAACCGGAACATCCTGTACATGTTTTTGTACCATGGCAGAGAGAACCCACAAAAGGACAGGGAGAACATGGAAACTTTTATTTTTACATATTCCTCTGGTCTTACAGCAACATAAGCACAAACGGTACGTACAAATAAAATACACAGAGTCAATCAATCAATAAAGCAATCAAATTTGGTTGCAAAGCAGGTGTGCTGATTCTACGCGAGTCTTGATCTGACCCAACATACAGCACTGTCCTTTTCTTGTATGTACAGTATTTCATTCCTATCGATTGATTTCATAGTGTAGTCCACGTGGACATTTTAGTGTAGTAAAGCTGTTGGTAATTTTGTTCCTGTTCCTGCCAGCTCTCATATCAGAAACACAGCACAATTAACTTCAACTTCAACATTTGAGAAGCTTCGAGGGATTTATTCTTTTCAGTGGCTATTGAACCAATGATGTTTCAAAAGAGTTACGCAATTCTTTTGATTCATCAGCTAGTAGCAGTAATTAAAATGTGCTTCAGTTGTACAGGTAAAATTGCAAATGTATACCATTTACTTACATGAAATGTATTAAATCTTTCCACCGGTCTTTTGTCTTCATTTCATAGCATGCACTGTTGATGTGTCACTTCCAGTCGTTTGTGAACCCACGACAACTTTTTTTTTTCTCAAATCAAATTCAGTCACACATGCTTTCACACACGCTAAAAATATATTTCCACTGCTTTTAAGCAAGCGACACCAGCCACACGTGCACGGCCCACCACTAAGCCACACAAAATACACAACGTAAAATATGCTGTAACAATGGTGAACAATGGTGGCACTTCCAAGCATGCTTTTGCTTCGGTCCACCCCGGCCGTGCCAGTGCTTCCCCGGGATGTTGACACAGTTTTCAGGGTTCGAGGGTTTAGATGCCCTCCACCATTTCAGGTCCATCCTCCCCGCCCTCTACCAGGAGCTCATCATGTGATGCAGAGGATGGCTCAATGCAGGGTGTTTTGCGTCATGCCTTGCGGCGTCTTATTTTGGAGGTGCCTCATCTGTCCCAGTCGTCTCTTGAAAGTAATTTCTTCAGGCGTGGACGTCCCCCCTTTGTCTTTTCTGTCCTTGCGCCAAAGGACTATTGTCCTTTTATACTGTATTTTACTGCAAAATAAAAATGTATGAAGTGAATGGGATTTTTTTTTTTTTTTTAATGTTGAATTATTCTCTTATTACCGTTGTTGTCTGTACCAAATCTTTAAAACTGGCAATTTAAAAGAAATGTAATGTCGAATGGTTGCTGATCCTCCAAAAGCATGTATAGTTGGTTGAGGACCACTTTTGCAGGGGTTACCTATTTTTTGACAGTTTTCTTTTGAAATTATCTTATGTGTGACTACGAGCATAGTTTTACTGCAATTACTATTCCAGGAAATGTATTTTTATTCACTCTTTCTACTTAAATTGAAATGACTATGATTTTTACTTGGTGTTTGCTTTGTGTAGTGCCAAAAACGTTCTCCGTAGTTTAAATTCAGTGATAATTTGTGAATATCAAAACAGTTTTTTTTTTTTTTTTTTGATGGATTTCAAAGCAGTATAGAATTGTGTCAACACCTTTGGTTAGTTCTGAGGAACAGCAAATATCATTGATGGACAATGTGAATTGTTAAGAGTGCTAGTCAACAATTCACAATGTGATCCGGGACTGTAGTGTAGAAATATGGAGTTGATATCATGAAGGATAATATTTTACCTATGTTTTGTTGTTTAGTAATAATGATATCCATCCTCAAATATGCAAAATGTGACTGTAATGCAGCACATATTCATATTGCATTTTTGTATATTATTTTGCAATGTGATAGTGGTGGTAATAAGATGGTGGATTAGGTCACTTCAAATTTCCACAAAAGGCCCAGGTCCCAAATACACCTTCTGCGACTGCTGAGAAGCAGCCGCCCAACCACTGGACCGCATAGCAAAGACATTGAACAAAACATCAGCCTGTGCTTCTGCACACATCAAACTGCTAGTTATGTGATATAGTGGTTAAAAAATATATATTAAAAAAAAACAAGCTAATAAATATTTGTATAAGAGGGATGGGGAGCTCCTTCAGAAAGGGGAAAAGGCCAAATGATAAGATGAAGAAAAAGAAGAGCCTACAGTTTCCATTAAACGAAATCGGCATCTCAGAGACAATATCAACAGTCTTACTGAAACATTATTGCTACATGAGGTTCTCACGCACCAAGCCCGCTTTGCATAATATGCGGCGACAGGCTCGCATAATGAAGCAAAGAAGCCTTCAAAACAAGCAAGCAAACCAGTACTCAATACTTCATTTTCATTTCCAACGTCGACGTAGTCTTTGGGAAGCAAAGTTTTCTGCAATAATGGCGACCAAAACACACATTATACAGTAGACTGGACATATGTAACTTTGGGTGTCATTGTTTCACATTAATTAAAGTTGGAACTTGCTGGATGAAAAGAGAACTAAGAGAAAAGATCCCTCTTATTAGAACATCAACATACAGGGAGTTTTGTTTTATATATATATATATATATATATATATGAAGCAAAGTTTTCTGCAATAATGGCGACCAAAACACACATTATACAGTAGACTGGACATATGTAACTTTGGGTGTCATTGTTTCACATTAATTAAAGTTGGAACTTGCTGGATGAAAAGAGAACTAAGAGAAAAGATCCCTCTTATTAGAACATCAACATACAGGGAGTTTTGTTTTATATATATATATATATATATATATACTTTTTTTTCACATGTGGCAAACACTCTCCCTAACTTTCAGTGAAAACCCAGGTTGAGAATAGCTCTTCCCCAGACACGTGTAAAAATTAATAAATAACTAATCCATCACAGAAAATATTGAGGCTTTGCTCAATTAAAAAGTATTATTTTGACATAACCTGAAAGTTTTCCTTTCGATTAATTTTATAAACCAAACAAAGCAAACCAATTACTTTAGAATTGTCCTAATTTAAATAATTATATTGGATTCAATACATAATATAAAGTACTACCTCAATGTAAATCATAGTGGTGAATTGGAACGATTTTTGTTCTTGTTGTTGTTTTTGTCTCAAAGATTTAAAATTGTCATAACAGTGATTTTAAAGCAATACTTTAAATACCGGTACATTTGAAATAATAGGCAAGGCAAGGGGAAGTCAACTTTATTGATATAGCACATAATTACAAGTACAACGTGCAAAAACATTTAAAAACCAAAGTATTAAATACAGCTAAAAATAAAGCACAGAAATAAAATATAGCTTTCTAAAATCTTCAAAAAAAAAAGTTTCATTCTTTAAAGGAGGTCAATCATAGGCATCGGAAAAAGGAGGTTTGTTTTTAACCTGGACTTACAAGCATTCTGTACACATGGGGTTGACTTCATACTCCGAACAAATTCTTTATTAAACCCTTTGATTGTTCATTGAATTGTTTCGGCCCAAATGGCGAACTTTGTACTTTAAACTTGTTCCGGACCCAAGTGTTCCTTCACTGGCTATCTGAATGCCTTTGGGTGGGTGCAAAAGATTCTCTCTCTCCCAATGAAAGAGATCGCCATGGGTGCGTGCTGTACTTCATCAACCTCATTTTCCTGCCAACCTCGCAAATGCACAAAAAAGCAATAATTCAATTAATACTTGGAAAGCACACACATTCATTTTATTTGGATGGGGCCCTATGCAAAGTGCGTGATCTGCATGTAGGTGGGGGTCAATCTATCCACAATCCTCTTCCTCTGTATTACTCAGGAAATGAAATGTTACTGGCCAAACCTTTGAATTGTGTCTTTTTAAACTCTGTCCACTTGTAGCTGTTGGTCAAGAATTTGCAGTTTGAGGACGGGAAGATGATATCTGCCTCACAGTACTTTTGCTCAGGAAGCAAAGCAGCTGTGGAGCTAACGGAGGAGGAAAAAAACTTTGCTGATCAGATCAAGGTATCTGTCTTATTAGTGTTAATGAATTCATGCATATTCGGCAAGTAGGCTCAATATCGGTTCATGATTTATAACAAAAGCAATGAAATGATTTTACTCCTTACAGTCAGTGTGGCACAGCATTCTGACCAATGTCAGTCAGATTGAAGACTCCACTGATTTCTTCAAGTCAGGAGCTGCCTCCATGGATGTGGTCAGGTAAAAAAAAAAAAAAAAAAAGGGGGG